AAATAAATAATGCATTTATTAAAAATAATTACATATAAGTTACATTTAAAATATTCCATTCAACTGATACTTACTTCGAACCAACCATTATTATTATTATTATTTTTATTAAAAAAAATCGGTTGTCTGTAAAGTCGGTTTATTAACGATAGTTGAACGTGACTAAGAAAATACTGATGGAATGGTTTCATTTTTCAAAAGAAAATCTTGATTTTATTTGTTTGTTATATTTTTTTTATGGATATAGAGAAGGAGGTAAATGGAAATCACTATTGAATTGATCAAGTTGATCAAGAACAGCTGTCAACGCGGATGCATGGCTCACTCAAGTAGGAGAGAGACAGATGTCGGACGCTGCCGAACGCAGAGGCCGATTGTGCCTCTTTGTCGCTCGTTGCGCGCTCTCGCTTGCACTTCAAGCCTTAAACGGAACGCTTCAGAGCGAGGTAACGCCGCATAAGTCATGTTTTTTCGTGCATGCAACCGGCTTCATCGAATTATAAGTCGTTGTCACGTCAAAATGTTATCTTTATTATACCCAGAAGAAGAGATAGCGCGCTATTAAACTCTGAGATCTCTAAGTCTGTTTTAAAGTAAGAAGTTTCTTGGCTATAAAGTGATAACAAAAATAGGACGTTAGAGCAAACCGTGCTGGGCCCGCCCGGTGTGCCCAAAGTGATATAATCGACGGACGTCAAACAGCTGGAAAGATCAATTACAGTTAAGTCTGTCGGTCACTATATGAGTAGCATCGCTTTGTCAAGATCGATAATTATTATCTATACTAATCTTACTAATATTATAAAGAGGAAAGATTTGATTGTTTGTTTGTATTGAACGGGCTCCGAAACTAATGAACCGATTTGAAAAGTTCTTTCGCTGTTTGGAAGCTACACTATTCCCGAGTGACATGGGCTATAATGTTTTTTGAAAAAAATTGGAAATCCTTACTAAAACTCCAATAATGTAACCCAAGGTGTAAATAAAATACCTAAAATATTCTTTACATCGCGTGCCCTCATTCGTAATTGCCAATGCTATGTACGCCATTGTTGTCACATGCATCAGGCCATAAATTAAATAGTTTAAATTTATTTTCAATGTTAGATGTTTGTGATGTGGCAGTACTTATTTAAATAAATAAATTACACTCTTATTTCTGTAAATTTTGTAGCAACAAATTACCGACAAAATACATTGCTATGTCAGCCCGATTAGGAGTTGGAGTGAAATTTGTGGGACAAAATGGAGTTAGCGTTTTCAAAGCGAGCCTTTATGAGGAGGATTTTAACTTAGATCATCTAGCTCAGGCATACTTTTTTTCTTGTTCATTTTGTCCTTTGATTGTGTTAATGTGATTTAAGAACGCATCTTTTCGATGGCTTTCGATAACTTGAGTTAACTTTTACGCCTTGGAGAACGTTAATAAATTCGCACTAAGCACACAGATAGGTCGGAAGTGAAGCCCTCGTGTAGTGCAATAACACATTTGTAATACATTACGCGCAAACCGAAAAGCGTTCATGTAATAAAAATTAAAACATACTAGAGGTCCCGCAGTAGTCGAAATTCGACTATAATTAATTGGAATTGTAAGTTTGTACACTATCATGATTGTATTTTATACTTCTATAATCACAAATTTCGTAAAAACTACACTATAAAAAATATATAACAAAGACAGACAATATTTAATCTATTCTCAATTTCACAACAGACGTCAAGAACAAAAGTTTGACAATGAACAGTATGCATGCGTGTGTGCGTCAAATACATGGTATGTAGTGTGTGTAATGTTTTCTTTATTGATTTAATGTATATTTTATGCATTATTTAAAAAAATATTAGCTTTGTGCACTTCTTCTCTATATTCTCTGGGAAATTTCATACTCCTCCGTCCGTGCAATTTTCGTAAAAAGGGATACAAAGTTTTTTCTTCACGTATATTAGTGTCGCCAACTGTTTGAAAACTTTCCCCCTAAAGCAATTTCAAAAACCACTAAATTAAAAAAAAAACTCCCCAACGACGGACCAAGTATTTATTCATTACAATATAAGTAAAGAAATAAATAAAAATAATAAATAATTAGTTAATAACAATAGTTATTTAGTATTTTTAAGTATTTTTCTATATAAAATTTTATCCATAAAAATATCCCCAAAAAATTTCACCCCCTAAAAAAATCCCTGTATAGATTTTTTCCCCCTAAATTTGGGGGGAAAACCCCGGAGTTGGCATCACTGATTAATATATAGATTATGTATGTAGTAGGTAAGCTTTACTTATAAAAAAACGTTCGATTTCATATTTAATTTTCACGAGACGTCTTCGGAAATTATTAATTTCCATCACTCGGGCCACAGCTGTCGCTCAAATATTTAAAAAAAGCGATTACGTACATAATATAAATTTCAGGGTGATTTTTTTAACGGTAAATCGAATTCTCATATTCCAAGAGCTTCTTAGGCGAACCATTAGTTCTAATGACAGTTATTGTTGTTTTTTTATTTGAAGTTATCGTGGCCTAAAGGATAAGACGCCCGGTGATTTCGTATCAAGCGATGCAACGGTGTTCGATTCCCACAGGCGGGTACCAAACTTTCTAAGGAAATACGTACTTAACAAATGTTCACGACTTACTTCCACGGTGAAGGAACAACGTCGTGTAATAAAAATCAAACAATCAAGCAAATTATAATTTGCTTAATTATTGGTGGTAGGACGTCTTGTGAGTCCGCACGGGTAGGTACCACCAACCTGCCTATTTCTGCCGTGAAGCAGTAATACGTTTCGGTTAGAAGCGTGGGGCAGCCGTTGTACTGTTAAAACGGAGGCCTTAGAACTCATGTCTCGAGATCGGTGGCAGTATCTACCTTGTTGATGTCTATGGGCTTTAGTAACCATTTAACACAAGGTGGAAAATCTATGTAAAGTGTAGATTATAGGATATGTATGAGGTATTTAGATATAAAATGTGTACCTGTGGAGAGTATTAAGCGGCAGGCGGCGGCTTGGCGAAGTAGTTCAAAGACATAATGAATGAATACATGAATGAACGAATGGATGAATGAATGAATGAATGAATGAACGAATAAATGAATGAATGAATTATTTTATTTCAGACAACAACAAGTCCATATGTGTACATAGTATAATTGGAACACACTTAAAATTAATAACACCAATTAAATAAAAAACATACATTTATTTAAAAAAAACTGAAGAATCGCGTATCTGACTGAATAACGTAAGCCGAAGCTATTTAAGCTAATTTGGGGAGGCTTAAACGACTAATATAAACTAATAAATATATTTATTAGTTAATAAATATATAATATAATAAATATAATATTATAATAAATATATTTATTAGTTTATGTTAGTAGGCCTTGGCTCTGCCCCTGGCATTGCTGACGTCCATGAGCGACAGTGACCACTCATCATCAGGTGGGCCGTATGCTCGTCTGCCTACACGAACAATGAAAAAAAAGAAACATGTGTGCAATTCACACGTGTTAGAAGTGAAACCTTCAAAAATTAAAATACAAATTTATTATCCTAAATGTCTTAGTATATGTAAAATTTTGTCATTAGTAAATAATTGTAAATCATCTTTTATAGTATGAGGTAGCGCCCTCTGTGAATCGATATTTTAACGTCACGTATATATAATCCTAAATTGAAATTCACTACAAGAGGTTTCATACGAACGTTAGTATTAAAAAATCTCATAGATGGCGCTGTATTAAAATTTTTCGACACTTCCGTTGCATACCTGCGTGATGTTACAGCTGTAAACATTTTACCCTCATGCGTCTAAAGAAGTTTCACTTCAAAAATTGCATTTTAATTTTTTCGCGGTTTTAAGCAATACTCGGCATTGCTCAATTTAAAAGCTGAACTAGAAAAAATAAATAACAAAAATAGAAAATAATTTATATTAAGTTAAAAAAAAAATCGAGACAAGAAATATTTCACCATAAAAGTGAGGGAGTGCTAGATCAATTATATTATTCGAAATATTTTACGTATATCTAAAAATCACATAAATGTATTGCCATCGGTCCTTGCCAAAGTTTCAAACTAAAATTAGTTAGTATGGGTTGAAAATCACGTTCAAAAAACACACAACAAGCTAATAAAACCGCTTTTAAAAATAGCATTCATTCATTCAAAAATATTTCAAATCCAATATGTTTCGCTGAGCTCCTAATGTCATCATCGCAAACAAATTTATCTAAACTAATATATAAATCTACAGTGGTTTTTACGGATGTTCTGTTATAACTACTGAACCGTGCATCCGATTGACTTGAAACTTGGTATCTATGTAGAAAATACATTTACTTAATGGATAGGCTAATATTTATATGAGTGTTGGACTCCCTAATAATAATGATAATAAATAATAAAGTTAATTAATACGTGAAGCAAAAACTTTGTATCCCTTTTTACGAAAATTACGCGGACGGATGAGTATGAAATTTTCCACACTTATAGAGAATATAGAGAAGTGCACAATATAATGCATTGAAACCTTACACACACTACATACCATGTATATGACGCACACACACATGCATACTATTTATTGTCAAAAAAGTTTGACAGTTCTTGACGTCTGTGGTCAAATTGAGAATAGATTAAATATTGTTTGTTAATGTTTTTTTTATGTTTTTTATAGTGTACCCTTGGCGAATTTGTATATTATAGAAGTATAAAATACAATCATTATAGTCGAATTTCGACCTCTAGTAAAGTTAATTTTTATATGCCCAGCGAAGCGGACGAGTACGGCTAGTTTTCATATAAATCATTCGGGGTAAGAACAAAAAAAGCAAAAATCCGTTTCTGATTCGCGGCGACACAGACGATTTCGGGTGAACTTCAAGAGCGTGACAGTGTCTACGTCCAATGTCTACGTCTACAGTGTCAATCGGTCTACATTAGTCTAAAACGTCTACACTCGTCATTCGGGTTTCTTCAGTCGTCCCGAAGCCGTCGCGACCAGCGTACACAGCAACGGAGCTCAGACAAAAGCGCTCTCGTAAAAAATCAAATTTCTAAACTTATACAAAAATAAACTTTATTATTATTTATTATTAATGTCGATTGTCTTTTGTTTTCGTGTGAAATTCTCCAACTCAGATCATTGGTTAATGTGTGTGTGAGTTTTTCAAGTTAAACAGAAGGTAAGTTTTCAAATTAATTGAACATCGGTTTCAATGTATCAAAGATTTCTATACTATTTTAATAAGTAAGTCAAAACGAAAATGGAATACGCATTACAAAAATATTAAAAATTAATTAATACTAGAGGTCCCGCAGTAGTCGAAATTCGACTATAACTAATTGGAATTGTAAGTTTGTACACTATTATGATTGTATTTTATACTTCTATAATCACAAATTTCGCCAAGACTACACTATAAAAAATATTAACAAAGACAAACAATATTTAATCTATTCTCAATTTGACAACAGACGCCAAGAACAAAAGTTTAACAATAAATAAATAGTATGCATGCGTGTGTGCGTCAAATAAATGGTATGTAGTGTGTGTAATGTTTTCTTTATTGATTTAATGTATCTTTTATGCATTATTTAAAAAAAAAATTAGCATTGTGCACTTCTACTCTATATTCTCTATAAGTGTGGAAAACTTCATACTCCTCCGTCCGCGCAATTTTCGTAAAAAGGGATACAAAGTTTTTGCTTCACGTATTAATATATAGATTTATGAGCTAGTATTATAAGTACAATGATAAATTCTATTTAAAATAATATTTACGACTAAAGCCTCGTAGCTCGGGTTTTGGGATGACCGTTTTTTGTACTATTGGCCTAGTAGGATATCGAAAGCTCTTGCTTCCTGTCTTGGAAGCTTTTCAGCGTCAAAATGCATGAAAAAACGATTGGAGCAATGGTGATTTCTCTACATGGCATGCATCGGTAATATACCGTGAACCATTTTTTATTAAGTAGACAAAAAAGAGAATTACGTATTAATTTAATTTTGTAACGAAATTTGAAGTATAGGTTTCTATTACTGTTTCCTTTCTTTAATCTCTAGTATAGAATATGAAAGGGACTTTTATTTTATTTTATTGCTTAGGCAGTGCGTCGCTTATCACACGAGCTCACGGCCACTTGATGATAAGTGGTTACTGGAGCCCATCGACATCTACGACGTAAATGCCGCCACTTACCTTGAGATATCAGTTTTAATAGTACAATGGCGACCCCACCCTTCAAAATGAAACGCATGACTGTTTCACGGCAGAAATAGCCAGGGTTGTGGCACCTACACGTGCGGACTCACAAGAGGTCCTACCACCAGAAAAACTACTAAAGCAGTTCGGATCAGAAATAGCCGTGTTGACAATTCGATTTTTTTATTGCACAAACGAGGGACGGTCCGTCTAGTGTTAAGCGGTTACCGGAGCCCGTGAGATATCAGGACGTGAATAGCGCCATCGATCTTTTGGAACTTGAGGTCTAACTCTCAGCTGTATAGTGATTACGTAAAATATTTAGTTTTATTACTGTCGTTTCGTATTAGCTTTTGGCATCGTGGTTCGATTTAAAAAAAAAAGTATATTTATTTGTTTTCATTCAACCCGTAAAAGTTTGTTGGATGTCTGGGCAAAGAATTAATTTTGGAAGGACAAAAAACATTTTGAAATGTGTAATTTTAAAAGTCAATGATAATTTTTTGTGAATCTCAAATGCAAAAAGAGATGATATCGCGGTGTTTCATATGAAGAGGCGAACTATGATGATGGTCGCTTCTGGCCAATGTATATATCGTATCAAAACATGACTTCCCATCTGAAGCTCAGTTATATACGAAGCGATATATATTGCGACAGATCGACAGTTCGAATCTTGTTCGTTCGGAAAATTGTTCGATAAAAATCGTCAGCGCGATTCACGCATTTATACTATAACAAGCGGCCCACTCCGACTCCGCTCGGGTCTTTAACAAAAATTTCAACTATATTTGACGTTGTTTTATTTTTTTAAATAAAAGAACACTTATTGCGGCATAAATATAATAGTTAGACATATGCTGTCGCGACACTTTACGTAAACAATAATGTGTTCTACAAAGTTGTAGTACATTGTTTTATTCTATCATCAATAGTTTTCGCAGGGCACGCGATGTAAAGAATATTTTAGGTACTTTTTTTACACCTTGGGTTACATTATTGGAGTTTTAGTAAGGATCCCTATTATTTTTTTAAAAAAAGATTATGCCTATGTCACTCGGGAATAGTGTAGCTTCGAAACAGTGAAAGAATTTTTCAAATCGGTTCAGTAGTTTCGGACCCTATTCAATACAAACAAACAAACAAAGCTTTCCTCTTTATAATATTAGTATTTATACTATAATAGATACAATTTCGAAGTTATGCTAGGGTTTCTATCACTCGAAATTTACGTTCCAAGAATACTTGAAAATATCGTTACGTTGAAAATAAATACGTGGGAAATATCCCACAAGTAGAAAACGTTAGTATTACTGATTTCTTAATGTAAGAAGCCATTTTCTTGGAGCCTTAACTGACTGAGTTTCTCGCCGGATCTTCTCAGTGGGTCGCGTTTCCGATCCGGTGGTAGATTCTGCGTAGCACGGTTCTTGCCTAGGACTAGTGTTAGCAATTTGTTTCAGGTCGAGCCCGTGAGCTCACCTTCTCGTCCACCGTGCAATAGCCAGTTAGGCTACCAGCGATTGGGAAGAGAGAAGAATTGGAATTAGGTTTACGAAAAGAAAAACGCCCTTAGCGGCAAACGTAGGCAAACGTTCCAACTCCATACAAATTTGAGTTAACTTTTACGCTATCGAGAACGTTAAAAACGTGTACTAAGCAAACAGATATATTTGGTTCTTCACCGGTTACCGTCCTCGCCGAACCCGTCGCCTGCGACGAAGGGTTCGACGAGTAAATTAATCCTTAGCAACAGCCCACTGAGTTTCTCACCGGATCTTCTCAGTGGGTCGCGTTTCCGATCCGATGGTAGATTCTGCGAAGCACTGCTCTTCATAGGGCCAGTGTTAGCAACACTCCCGGTTGAGCCCCGTGAGCTCACCTACTGGCCCGGTGAATCTAGATTAACCCCTCGAGTTTACTAGAATAGGTAGGGAAAAAAAATGGTTCTTCAAATTGTATAGGAGTATGGTTTCTACTTAGAAGGCTTTTATTGGTGTCCCAACACTATTCAGGTACTCTGACGTGAGTTGAGCCCCGTGAGCTCACCTACTAGCCCGGTGAATCTATATTAATCCCTTGAGATTACTAGAATGTGTAGGAAAAAAATGGTTCTTCAAATTGTATAGGGGTTTCTACTTAGAGGGCTTTTATTGGTGTCGCAACACTATTCATGTAATCTGACGTGAGGTAGCCTTTTCATTGTTTTGGATTAAGAGTCACACGGTCTTGTGGTAATCGTAAAACGCTTTTTAGAGTATGTTATAAGGGCCCTACGTGTCGCATTAAGTTTTATGGAATTACGTAACAATAGTAAAAGTAATAGGAGATTTTGGCTGTCTTATAGCTGAGCTTAATGGCTTTGAAGTCCTTTTGGGTTAAAAGATAAGACGCCCGGTGCTTTCGTATCGAGCCATGCGACTCATTTGGTGTTTAAATCCCGCAGCTTGGTGCGACATTTCTAATGAAAAACTTATTTAACTTATATTCATGAATTATTTCACCGATGAAGAAACAAAGTGATTTATTTAAAAATCAAATCAGAAAAAAAAAAAAAAGAGTAGTGGGTGGTAGAGCATGTTGTGAGCTAACACGAATCTTTACGAGTAATAGAAAGCATTAAAGAATAGCATTGAGTTTAAAAGAAATCAAATCGAGGGGTGAAAATCTATTTTACTGGTGGTAGGACCTCTAGTGAGTCCGCGCGGATAGGTACCACCACCCCGGCTATTTCTGCCGCGAAGCAGTGATGCGTTTCGGTTTGAAGGGTGGGGCAGCCGTTGTAATTAAACTGAGACCTTAGAATAGAATTGAGATAGAAATAGAATTTATATCTCTTGGTGGGTGGCGCTTTTACGTTTTAGATGTCTATGGGCTCCGGTAACACCAATACAAGCGGAGCACCAATAAAGAATTTTTCAAAATCGGGGTTTTTCCCCTTTTGAGAGATTCCGCTGCGTGCGCTGCAGAAACGGTTAAAGTTTTGCTAAAATAATGGATTACAGAATTGTTCCCCTTTAAAAAATCTAAAAAAAAGTCCGCGACAGCATATGTCTATATGTTAAGGTTGACTCACTATAACGTTTTTTATGCTAACCAAATTTGTTCTAAAATAAAGCATTATTTGTGAACTATTCCACACGGACGATGTCGCGGGCAAAAGCTAGTACCAAATAAAACCCACTTTTAATTACAAAATGACGCGTATTAAGCGGAATTGCGCTTAAACCAACCAGCATTTCACACCTCACTATTATCTTTTAAAATTAGTATACATATTAATATCAAGAAGCTTTGCATATGCGTAAACTCTAAGAGTGTAGCGGGCGAGTTATTAACCAAAACTCGGGCACAATTAACGGACAAAAAGCTATAAGTTTGTCGTGTATTTTGAGACTCTATTTTTGATTTTCCTGTTCTTCTATACTTTGAAAAAGAGCAAAAGTTCCAAACTTTCTAAACATTTCTCAACTGAATAACTTTTGAACATATAATAGAGCTACTCTTTTGATATTTTTTATGACGCTTTTATTAGCTAGACCCGGAATATCTCTTAGTCATGTTTGGGATGGGGGGCGTTATTATAATCAACGCGTTTGGCATGGGGGTTGGTTATCGCAAGGTACCGCTTTAATAGTCGGAGAACGCTATTGCTCATTCTCTGACGAATTCTTTGGTCACTTTCTATGCTGTCAAATAAAACGAATTTCTAAACTTTATTATTATTTTTTGGTTCAAATTCTTAAACTTTTAAAATGAAATACATAGTTGCTATATTGCCCTCTTGGCTGATTCGATCCGGTAGTAGATTCATTCGCAAAACAGCTACACTTGAGTTGTTAGGTCTCCTTTGGAGGCGATCGGGTAGTAATTAGCAAATCCCACCCCTCCTTGCTGAGCCTTTGCTCGCCCACCTGCCCTGATAAAACTGGAAAGGCATCCGGGTCACCAGTAAATTTAAAAACATAAAAAAAGAAAAA